TTATTTTTAGGCTGATGCACTTGCTTACCTTGGTAGAGTTGGTACTATGGAGCAACTGGAAGTCAGAGTTGAAAGACGAGAAGGTCAAGGAACTAAAGAACACTCCTTGGACTATGCGACCACACAGTCGATCTTCATTTGGTAAATGCTTAAATATTTTTCGATTTATTAGCAAGAAACTAACTCTATATTTGTTAAAGAGAATGTCTATTTTTAGGTAATGACAAGCCAAACTTCAAGAAGCCAGAAAATATCACCTACAAGAAGGGAATTATGGCATCGATTCTGGACAAACAAAGGAAAACACTTGATATTGACGTTGTCCCCGACATTAATCAGAACTTGGAATGAAATAAATATTTATTATACTTTGAAATTTTTTAGAATCATTTCTATAACGGTTGATAAGAGAAGTTGTCTGGCAATTATGTAGAATCTTCTCTAGCAACTTTTAATTGCAATTATCTATTAGTTTGTAACAAATTTAATTGATTTTTATTCACAGTTAACACGATACTAAGCAGAATTGGGTTTGCAATTCAAACGTTGAGATCGTTTCCTATGGAGAAGTTAGGCTACGACCTAAAGCTGGAGATTTTAGAGGAAATGGGGCCGAAGAATCTGATTGAATTAATCAAAGCGAATGTAGGATTTCAATCGCTATTGTTTCGGACACCCTGGATATTTTCTGGAAATCACCTGTTCAATATATAGATTGATGGTGTTTGGAATAATTGTGTTTCATTTCAAATCGGAGAATTGAATGTTGATCTCCATCTTCCATTGTTCAACCCAAATCTTCTTGAATCTTCAGACTTCTTACATCAAACTAAATCATAATCATCAAATTTTTGCTGCTTGACTGAATACTCTAATCTCAAACAAAAGCTTTATAAACGTGGGTTACTACCGTTTTTGTCTTGTTCTGCCCATCTTTCATCTATGTTTTCACGATCTCGTTTCTTGATGTTATCCAACTTTTTGTCTCATCCCTTCTATAGAAGTTTTTTTAGAACAGTAGTTTGCAATGATGACGAACCCAGCGGAAATAATGGAAGCCCTTAGGAAGGAGCAACTGAATGTAAGTGTTTAGCTATAATTCGTTTTAAATATTGTAGTTTGTGATTGCTTTCTAGTGGATGTTTCGTACAAGTTTTATTTAAGCCCATGCCAACCTCTTCTCTCTACTTCCTCGCACTTCCCGATTCGTTTTTCATGCGGTGGTGGAGAACTTCCTACGCATCGAAATGTTTCAGCCTTCATCTTCTAGAGATCTAATCTTTGCTTTAGCTGTGTTCGACAACTCTCAAGGGATTGCTATAGGAGGGTCGAGCTGCGGAGAGCAAAACTACCTCGCGTTGTGATTTCGATAAGCTTCATGTTGGTGAGAACGAGGTAAGATATTGTTGCGTTAGTGACAAAAACAAAGGTTTTAGTTTTGCTATGGCTTTGGATGGAGCAATGCATATCAAGAAACGATCGATTCAACTAATTTGATGCAACATTTGGAGTATTTGGGAGAGCGTGCAACTTTCAAGGAGCTCATTTTGGTTAGTGTTCCCTGGTATTTCTGGTACTTAAAATCTGTCTTTTAGGTGAATGTCAACTGGGAAATGTTTGCAAATTGCAAGTTCGCATGCGAGGAATTGTATTGTTGTGTCAACGATGGGACGGCTCTTTCGCCCGAAAAATTCATGATATTTTTGCAGTATAAGACCAACGCACAAGCTAGAGCTTCATGTAAGTTTTTATTGAACGAATAAACATTCGGTTGATTAAGGCGTATGGGGACGACAAAATTTTTCCAGTTACGAGCGACTTTTTTCACCAATAATTATGCGGTTGGATTGCAAGAAGTTCGGTTGACAGGTTGGGGGAATGCCATGGTTGATCCATTAAATGACTCGGTTTGTTTTGATTCAACGGACAATAACCACCTTGGTTACTCTGCATAATATTTATTGTTTAGATCTTGTTGGATTTGTATCTTTTGCGTTTTCACAGTACATTTCGAAGACCTGGGTGCACTCTGAATGGGATTCAAACGATGCTCCGAGACTGGTTCACTTCAGGGCGGCAAATTGATGAAATTGACCTTCGAGCAGTTGGCGGAGAAGCAGAATTTCAAAATGTGAGCTCTTTTAACGTTTTTATTTGGCTGAAGTTAATTTGGATGCAGTTCTCAAAAGAACCGAAAGATTGACTTAACTATTCTAGTCTAGATTGCCTAGATAATCCTTAGAAGCAATTCGAAGCAATTGGTAGTTTTGATAAAATGTTCAATTTTTAGTTCTTGCACAACTTATCTGGATTGCAAGATGTTAAACTGATTGACAGTTTTCCAAATCAAATCTTTTCTTTGAAAAGAGGAAATGGGGACGTGGTTGAGCTTGAGTTATGTAGTTATGTACCAAGCATATATGCACCAGGCAGTATTGGGTATGTTTTAGCATGGGTTTCTCCAATATATGGGCCACGTTCAATGAAACTATCTATTACAAAATTGTTTTAGAATCTGCGTGACTCGAGTAGTGCCCGGCCCAGAAGCTGGCTTATATAGGCCGTATGATGACGTATGATAATGCACCACATTTATTCCTGATTTTTAGTCAAAAGCTGTATTTTGTTCTCTATGAATTTGTAATGTATTTTAAAGCTTAAGCTTAAGTTTTGATGTTGTAAATTTTGTCCATTGTGAGTGCTTCAAATGTCTCGACGATTAGACAAGGACTGACCGACTGTGTTTGCAATTAGAATCAATAAACGATTTAGAATCAGGTTTTCCATTGCAAAGCCTTTACCCGATGTTTTTGAATCAAACATAACTCCTTGCCTATGTGTCTCCTTCTCATCATACACACAGTTTGATGAGGAAATCTGAATTTTAATGACCAATAAGGAAATCTGGATTTTAATACAAAATCTCAATTTCCAGGTCTCATCTGCATCCCATTGCAGAAGCTGCGAGCGTGGGGAATTGCAAAAATACGGCGAAAACCGTCAAATTGGAGTCACTGAAGAGTTCAAAAGAGTCTTTGTAGTAAAATATAGATTTAGAAGGTTTTGAAATGGAAAAATTTGCAAGCTACAGCTTTCAAAATGCAAAAAAGTTGAGAAAAAAATTACCAGAGATTTCTCATAAAATTTGACGACTTCGGAACGCTTCGACTATGCTTCGACTTTCACAGCCAATTAGACTTCTAAAAAGTACGGATATAAGCAAATCGTTTTTTTTTCATTGCACAAAGATTTTCAAACTTTATTTTGAATAATTCCAGGCAATAAAATATAATAGAGACAGCACCAATAATTTGTCAATTCAAAAAATGGAGACAATGGTAGAAAGCGACTAAAAGATACAATTAATCATCAAAGAGTGATTTTAATCACTTTAATTGATGGGGACGTAGAAGGCCAAGAAGCAAGTAGTATCGTCCTCGTCGTACACGCAGATGCAGTCCTTGGCTGAATCGAAGCGTGGACGGAACACTGAGCTTTCTTCCGTGAAGAAACGACGAGAACCAGGATATCTTTTTTAACTTTTTATATCAAAATGTAGAGGAGATCTTCAGCTTTCGAATGATATATAACACTCATATACATCTGTTCGATATCTTGAGAAATTTACAAAATAGTAAAACGCGCATTCATAACTGGACAACCCAATATTTTGGTAAAGACTTAGTGCCAAGAAGATAACACTAAAAAATTCTTGTTTGAAATACAGCTTCTCTGTAAGAAATTTTTTGGCCAAAAATAGAGATTATTGAGCGCATTGCTCTTTTATGCTAGCTTTACCTCATAAGAAATCGTTTTTCTGGTGCAAAAAGTGAGCTGAATTTAAGCTGGAGAATAATCATTTTTCAAAAATCTCTAAAAATTTAGGGGAAAGCTGCACTCATTTTTTTCCGAGTAACTTCTTGGAGTCCACTTATAAATAATAGAACAAAATGTTCTTGAATTGGTGGATTCGTTTTTAAGAAATTACAGTACAAACTTTTTCCGAGAACTTTCCTTCCAACCTAATAGGATAAAGATAAGGCTGTACTGATCTAAACATTCTAAAGCTTGTCACGGTTAAAAGAATAAGTATGAATGCTATCAATGCTAAAGTACACTTGCAACTGGCTGGCAAAATAGTCATGAGTCCCCAAAACTACCATAAAAATGGCACAAACAATCTCATAGCTCTTACTAGTTAAGCCAACACTTTTGAAAAGAAAATCCCACCTGGTTGTACGAAGATCGTCTCACTTTCATGCTAATTTTGTAAGCAAAAAGTGAAACTTCTTTTCGGAATAGGCCTATTTCCTTAATTTCTTCAGGAAGGCCATTCTTCTAGACTTCTTCTTGACTTCTTAATCTATCTCGCCCCCGTCTCATCTCGAATTTCACTATTTGCGGAACTCATTTTCAAACGGATAAGCGATTCAAGGAATCCATTCAACTCATTCAAAAACCCTCAAAAATTTGAGACATTTGTCATAACCTTGCAGAAATATTTATTGAGTCAAAAATGGGTGCAATTAAATGGGCAAGCCTTGGTCCTTTGGTTTGATCTCGAGAAAGAAGGCTAAGAAGGTCATCATCATGGAGACAATCTGAAAAATGATTAAAATTCTAGTTAGTTCTAGTTAGATCTGCCAGTCAAGGCGTCCTTTGTGCGCGCGCTTAATCGCCATCCATCTGGCACACCCCTTTCCCTCAGATACTTCCCTTTTCCCCTTTTTTTCATCTCTGGTTCGTCTGCATTTGACCGAGAAAATCTTTCGCCTTTTACTAAAGATTTCCGTGCAGACGAACAATTATGAGTATCAATGAATTTTTGGAAGTCCCCTTGAAAAAGCGGGACAAAAATCATGCCTAATTTATCTGAACAAGTGCTATGACAAGAATCCCTTATTCTACGTACCGTTAAAATTAACGGCTTCATAACAAGTGTGAATCTCCATAAAGATAAGCCGAGATCCGGCGTCGCCCGAGGTGCATCGCCAATGTGTGAGCAATTTTATATTATTTTATCTCAATTTACTGAATTTTTAAAGTAACCCGCTATAGTCAGCTTAATGCATTGAATTAAAGGAAACATAAGCCTTCGTATGATGAATTTAAGGTGCTGACGCTGCTCGTATCGTTTGACGGATAATAGCGTTGAGTTTCAAAGTTGACACTGCAGAAATAGAAAATGCCTTCGCAATGATTGAGGTTGAGCGATTGATGATCATTTTAAGTTTTCAAAGTATTTTTTTGCGACTTATTGAATGGCCAACTAATCCCAGGTGAGTGCGGGCTCCGAGGTTTGAGAGCCAGTTAATACTGGCTCAAAGGCAAAAAGCGAAGTTAAATCACGCAAAGGCAATGTATAGGCCCCAGCAAAATATAGCAATAAACATGAATATCGATCATTTCATCCGGACTTGATGTAAAAGGCGAGGAAATTCCAATTTCAAATTCATCCAAGGACAACATGTAGATGCAATCTCGCGTCGCATTGATATTTCGTCGGAAACACAGAGTTTTCATCGTCAAAGCGGGATATCTCCTTCCGCCCCCCTACGATCGTTTAAGCCAATGCAATAATGGTTGACGATTTTTCCCGTTGATTATGCTTCAATCCCTGGATGTCCCGCCCGGAGAAAAACAACGATTGTAGCCTTCAGATCGTATATACAAAGTCGTCCGGAAATTCTCACAACCGCTGCGGGTTTTTTGCACCGGAATTCCGTGGCTAACCATCACTGTGCAATTGTTGAACGGACCCGTTGTAACAACCGATTACAACATATTGGATGTGGGTCGCATATAATCTCAAATATAAAATAATAATCAAATCATTTTCTTTTCATTTCACAAAGATCTTCCAAAACTTTATTTTGGATAATGAAAGGGCAACAAAATATGGCAGAAAAAATACGAATAAACTGTCAATTTCAAAATGGAAACAATTATAGAAAGCGACAAAAATATTCAATAAACCATCAAAGAGTGATCATTTTAATCGACGGGGATGTAGAAGGCCAAGAAGCCACCAGTATATCGTTTTTCGTACACGCAGACGCAGTCCCGGGTTGAATCAAAACGTCGACGGAACATTGAGCTTTCTTCCGTGAAGACATCAGAACCATCCCAACGATAATATCTAAAATTTCTCGCAAGGTATTTCGCCTGATCGAGAAGTCGAAGACGATTCTCTCAATCGATCGTCTTAATTCTTGGATATTGTGAGAGATCTATCGTGAAGTCAAAGTCACGTGAACCAAGGAGAATAGCAGCCTCACGGCTCTTGCTAGGGATTCCATTGGTGATGATCTGTTGAATAATCAAGTCAATGCCACGCGATGAACAAGTATACATAAAACCGTTTTTGATTTCAGCCTTCAACAAGGCGTGGTAGCAAAAGCGAACTGAATCTTGAGAATAACAGTCGAACGAAATCTGCTCGCAATCCTTGAGTTGAGGTCCCACCATAAAAATTCTCGATCCGATCTTTGATCACTAGATCATCGAAAACTTACTGCAGTAGATATCCAGTTCTGTATCTTTCTTGATCGATGCGTGGAAATTTGAGAAGAATCTCTCCAGTTCTTCTTTCGAATTCCAACCCAGGCACAAAAATGATTTCACCAACTTCAAATTCTTCAGGGGTGTGTATTGATCGTTCAATTGCTGACCCCGTCCAGAACAACAAGCGACGCAAGATCGGATCTTCTCCACGAAAGAAAAGTGAAAGGGATGATCGACATTGAGCTTCGTTGCATTTGAATTGGAAAACTTCTCGATCCAAATCGTTTCATAGTCGAATCGAATCCAAGAGACGTGCGCTCCAAAAACGATCGACGGACGCCTCACGAGTATCCCTTGGAAACCTTGATTCACCTTGGTCAACTCAATACACATCCTTGGTTCGATTTGTTCCAACATTTCCAACTTCAAATCGAAGCACAACTTCCCCATTGGAAATGACCTCAAATTCTTCATTTCGACTGACGCCATTCTTCCACCTATAAACAAAAACATAAAGACTTTGTTTTGACATACAGAGGTGCTATACGGATACCAGAAATGTTAGGAAACAGTGGAATTAAGACATAAACAAAGATGGAATAAGTCACAAATGAGTCAATCCATCAAGAAATCGAGAACTGCTTCAAATAGTAATTGCATCATGAAACAATATTTTATAAATTTATTCCAAGTGGACAAGAATAACGAGAAAGCTAGCAAAAACATAACGAAAAGGGTACTATGGCAGTTGGGGGAGCACTTGAAATTTGCTTATGTGCCTCTGTGGTGCGGGGCCAAGGCCTAGGAAATACAGGGACATGCAGTTTTTTCAAAACAGAGAAAGTTAATCCAGTAGATCTTTTTTAATCGAAAACCTAACTTGAAAATGTTTTTTAGTGGTAATGTTTAGAGGACGGTCACACAGATGTCGGAAAAATCACATACTAAACAAAGTTGTACAGTATAGCTCAACTTAATTGGTCATTTTCAATTGCCTTCAAGGATCTCTCAAAAAGTACCCACAAATAGTCCATCCACTCGGTCAATCTCTCCAACAATCGACTCCAATGAAAAATCGTCGACGAGAATCTAAAGGCCAACATTTTGATTCGAAAACTTTTACACGCCGACCAAGCAACCATTCCGACAACACCGTATCCCCACCAGATTTGTTTCTTTTGTATATTTGATCACCAGCCAAGTTGTTGTCAAAAAAGATACGTCGTAACGAAGTTGAGAACAGAGAAGCTAGCCGATGTTGGTTCCTGAAACAAAAAGTAAAATAAGAAACACTTGTTCACACCTGAATGACGATTGCCCCGAGTTGGGTGGCGGCGAGCGGCCATTCTCAGAAATTTGTGAGTTGCCAGGTTGAGTGATTCGAATGATCGCCCACATGCTAAATTTCTAAATCCAAATGAGTTGATTAGTTATGCGTGTCAAGTAAAAAACGCTCACCGAAAACATGGCTGCCTGTCAAAACCGTTCGTTCAATCGTTGTGGGCATCGGTGTTCTCTTCGGCAACGTGAAGTGCATTCGCGGTAGTGTGGCCAAAGATGAGAATAATTTTAAATAGTGGTGATACTGCTTAAAAGAGTCAATATTTTCAGTGCTGAAGTGGTTTTGCCACTACTAAGAGCGCAAAATCAGCTTAATTCCACTTCTGGCAACCAGAAGCCTACTTCTAGCAACCACAAAGCAATGCAGATCTACCCATACTTCTTCCTAGTTAGGCTTAATCCCTTACGTGCTAATGCCCGAATAACCCACTAGTCGAATCGATGAAGAGAAGCGCGAAGACGACAAGCAAAACGACAAGCGGTGATTGACGAGGGAAGAGAGCGGCCCGACATCACCCGAATGTGATGACCCAAAAAATGCACCTTGTGTTCGTTGATAATAAAAAGAATGCAAAAATCGAGAAGCAAAATCAGCAATTTAATACAAACATAAAACCCAAGAGCAACTCCAAAAATATTGTGAAAACTTTTGCGCAAAACATTGTTTTTATACCTCACCAAGCCAGCTTAATCCTATTGATTTAATTAACTGAATATTTTCACTTTTCAGTGCAGGAAGCGCCGGCTTTTACATTACATATAGTTTTCGAGTGTCCCCCTCCCTAAGTTGTCCATAAAAAGGTAGTCCATAAA